GGGGGGGGGGGGGGGGAGGGGCGGGAAAGCGACACACTCGAATGTTACAGACACGTATCAATCCCGCGATTGTTCGATCGTGCCAAGTAATCCCGCGCGCACAGTCACGTTTGTTTAAAATGCGTCACATGCCCGGCGCTTAATGGGAGACGAGTATCGTAGCACGATCCCGTGAAATCGCGAACCAATCGACGGCAAATTCGAATGCCAGTAAATCCGGAAGCGCTACTACTCGATATAAAGTTATCATCGTCAATATGCTAGATTTAGCTTTCAGGTTGAAGCCGCGCTTTATGCGCATTTGTTCTCAACGTTTCGTGAACATCCCAGCTCATTAAGTTGCGAAGTGCAACTTGATACTGTATCAGGAAGTCGAATCTAGGTATTACTCTGCACCGCGGCAGTTTTTGATATCATATCTCTTATCATTATTTATTATTTATCATTATTCGTCCTTATTATTTATTATTACTATTATTACCGTTATTACTACTAGTTTGATGCAAATGGCTCGTCGTGTTTCAAATAAGATAGAAAGTGACGTTTCCTAATCGTTTTCAAGGATTAATCATTTTTACTAACACAACATCGACTCGGTACTTTTTAGATATATTTTAGATATTTTTAGATCCAACGAGGGCTTGTTATATTCCTTTCAACGCCCACACACTCTACGAAAATTGAATGGAAAAATGACAAGTTTTCCGCACTGACCTAGCACTACTATTATTAGCGCTGACGCTCACCTGAAATATTGATGCACCGTACGGCGTACGCCACGCGTTCAGCAGGTTGTCCTTGCCGGTGGAGACGAACCACTTGCCGCACGACGCAAAACGTAGCGACAGCACGCAGGACTCGTGTAGGTGTAGCTGATATTTGTCGGACTTCGTAGCATGTAACACCTCGACGTTCGAGTTCTCCATGCCGACCGCCAGCCACTCGCCGGTTGGGCAGTAGCCCAGCGAGAATATCTGCGAGGTGAAGTCGTGCTGCTGCAGTTGCCTGCCCTCCCGTAGGTCCCACGAACGCACGGTGTTGTCGAGGCCGCCGGTCCACAGCTTCGAACCGTCGGCGGAGATGTCGATGCAGGAGGCGCCGTCAGTGTGCCCTTGGAATTGCCGGACCAACGTCTGATTCTGCAGATCCCAGACGGCGATGTTGCCGTCGCTGCAGCAACTGAAGCAGACCTTGGAGTCCGGCGAGATCGCTAACGCATAGCAGGCCGGTGCCGAGGAGGTCAACTCCGCCTTGATTCTCGGCGTGGGGCTCGCCAGGTCCCAGATACTCAGCTGACTAGCCTCGCCGCCGACTATCAGTGTCCTGCCGTCCGGCAGTAGCTTCACGGATCTGCGCGTGCAGAAGGGCATGGCTGTTACTTAAGTCGCCTTAATCGATATCACTTACCGCAACGTTATTAAATGACACGGGCGCAGCACGGAGGTGCTGTCGCGACTTTAAGAGAAGACAGTCTATATTTTGTAAATTTACAAGAGAGAGGGAGAGAGAGAGAGGGAGAGAGAGAAAAAGAAAGCACCAACGATCATTAATTCCAGGAAATAGTCGCTTTTCATCTAATAAGTAATTATAAAAACAACTGCGCGTCTTCTTTTTTCCTCATTTGCCCCTTTTCAGTGCGATTACGTCGTTCGTCACGAACACTGTTGGGCGGAAACCAAGTCATACAGTCTCGCCGGATCATTCGTCGCCGGCAATCGAACCGGTATAGGGTCACGGTTGGTCTCACCTGATGTAATTGTCACGTTGCAGACAGTCCAGTTGCGAGACTGGTTTCACGCTGGCGCTGCCGACACTTTGGCCGATATCCCAAACTTTGACGCAACCCTTGCCGCCGGTGTAGACATACTTGGTCGGATTCGAGATTGTGACGGCGCACACCACCTCGCCGTGAGTCAGGGTATTAATTTGGCGTGCGTGACGCGGTATCCCCGGTCCTATTAGAGCGTCCGTGGGGAATGGTACGGGCTGCAGTTGGCCCTCGCCGTTCATATGGAAGGAGTACGCCCTGCGGAAGTATATCCGGCTAATACGAGAGTGTTTAAATGCGCCTCGGCTATATATATATATATATATATATATATATATATATATATATATATATATATATATATATATATATATAT